CAACAGTTGAAGGTTGCAATAGAGAATATCAAAATTTTATATGACAAACATATGACAAAAAGTGATTTTTGATAATTGCTGAAAAGAAAATGGTTTAGTTTAAAACATCAAAGCTGTGATTAAATACATATTTGAAATAATACACATCTACAGTTGCAAACTTCCCAGAGGTGCTATCCAGCACTTTGATTGCAGTAGTAGTGACCCTTGGATATAGCAAATTTCTTTAAAACATCTGTTTTCCAACCTTTTTAGCTCACCTGGCTCAAAGGGCCAGTGTGAGCTTTCCAATCACTTGCATGGTGTCTGTCGTCTGTTGTTTGTCGTCATTATCCTTTAACTTTTACAAAAATCTTCTATAAAACTACTAGCCAAATTTAATAAAACATGGCCACAATCATTATTGGGGTATCTAGTAAAAAATATGTCTGATGACCCTGCCTGCCGACCAATATGGCTGACATGGCTAAAAGGACATAGGGGTAAAATGCAAGTTATGTCAATTTTCTTGAAAATAGCTGTAGATAGAGAAAATCTGACAAGTCAAGAAGTTGAGCAGTTTAAATTCTTACAGGAATTATTTCCCTTAAATGACAAATTTTACCAAGTTTTTGCCTTTTATCTTGAAACCTGTAATAGATACAGTTGGGTGCAGACCAAGCATTACATAAAGTAAACGCAAGTTAACGCCGCATGCACATATTTCATTAGTTAACTTCAATTTTCGCATTTACTATAATTACGTTAACGCAGTCAAAATGGAAATTTCTAATGTCTACCCGAGTAAACAGGCGTTTACTCTGTGTGTTTACTTCAGATTTCACAAATTTATTTTTACGTGCACTTAGTAGTAAACGGGCGTTTACTACAGATTTCACAAGTGTATTTTTATGTGCACTTGAAAGTAAACGTGCGTTTACTTTTTGCGTTAACTTATTGTGTAAATTAAGAAATAAACTTCGTGTTCATTTGTACATTTTTTTTATTAAAACGACTTTTATCTTAATATTTTACGTATATGTGTTTCAAACCAGAACAATTCAAAAACACTTTTAATTCGAAATATTAATTTTATTCAATTATAAAAAATCAGTTCCAATAACTTTACTGATTAGCAGATTTTCTATATTATCTTTTCAAAAGTTACATGTACAAATACTGAGGCGGATAGAAAGGTTATCCAACACATCGGAAAAATATTTGTATATGATGGGATATAAACATCATGGTTTACGTTGCTTCATTCCCCATTTTTAACTGTCTCTTCCAATTCCTATATTCTATGAGGTATAACTCAATGCATTAATATTTAATACATTATTTTTAATCGTAATTCACCTTGTTTGATTGGATTTACATGATTTAAGCTTCTGTTTTGCCAAATGTTCAAACAAAATTGTACAGTGTATTGAAAGGGATATTGATAAAGTGTTGTATAAGTATGTACATTTGTACCATCTCGTCAATTTAAACAGACTTATCCATAACGATTATAAAGGATATTTGGGACGTCCGAAAAATATACTTGATCTGAACATGAATGAAATATTGCCACTGGACGTTATGCTACAAACAAAATCAATCAATCTACATATAATAGTATAATGTTCCTAGAAGAGAACTTCTCATAGTTTTCATTATAAAGTACATGAATCAGTCATGTGAGTGTTGAATGATGCCGTTAAATAGTTTTGTTTAAAATAAAAACCATCACGAACTGCTGACATATAAATATAACTGATTTACTATGTGACTATAAGATTTACATAATAAAATGCAAATATGGTCAGTTTTGGTTGATGCAGACAAATAATTTTGTTATGCAAGTCAGTCTGAGGTGTGAAAACTACTGAAATTTGTTTAACTTGTTCAATATTTTGAATAAAAAAAGGACATGCTGGCACTCTAAATTGATGCGAACAAAATTTTTTAGTCATTATGTCCCAATATTGCTATCATTTGTATTATACAATCCATCCTTACATGAAAATATTACTGATTTACTATGCGACTATAATATTTACATAATAAAGTGCAAATATAGTTAGTTTTGGTTGATGCAGACAAATAATTTTGTTATACGAGTCAAATCTGAGGTATGAAAACTACTGAAATTTGTTTACAATTCAATATTTTGAACAAAAAGAGGACATGCTGGCACTCTAAATTGATGCGAACAAAATTTTTTAGTCATTATGTCCCAATATTGCTATCATTTGTATTATACAATCTATCCTTACATGAAAATATAACTCATTTACTATGGGGCTATATAGATTTACATAATAAAGTGCTATAATGGTCAGTTTTGGTTGATGCAGGCAAATAACTTTATGATACAAGTCAGTTTGAGGTATGAAAACTACTGAAATTTGTTTACGATTCAATATTTTGAATAAAAAGAGGACATGCTGGTACTCTAAATTGATGCAGAAAATTTTTTGTAGTCATTATGTTCCAATATTGCTATAATTTGTTTTATACAATCCATCCTTACATGAAAATATTACTGATTTATTATGCGACTATAATATTTACATAATAAAGTGCAAATATAGTTAGTTTTGGTTGATGCAGTCAAATAATTTTGTTATATGAGTCAAGTCTGAGGTATGAAAACTACTGAAATTTGTTTACAATTCAATATTTTGAACAAAAAGAGGACATGCTGGCACTCATAATTGATGCGAACAAAATTTTTTAGTCATTATGTCCCAATATTGCTATCATTTGTATTATACAATCTATCCTTACATGAAAATATAACTCATTTACTATGGGGCTATATAGATTTACATAATAAAGTGCTATAATGGTCAGTTTTGGTTGATGCAGGCAAATAACTTTATGATACAAGTCAGTTTGAGGTATGAAAACTACTGAAATTTGTTTACGATTCAATATTTTGAATAAAAAGAGGACATCCTGGTACTCTAAATTGATGCAGAAAATTTTTTGTAGTCATTATGTTCCAATATTGCTATAATTTGTTTTATACAATCCATCCTTACATGAAAATATTACTGATTTACTATGCGACTATAATATTTACATAATAAAGTGCAAATATAGTTAGTTTTGGTTGATGCAGACAAATAATTTTGTTATACGAGTCAAGTCTGAGGTAAGAAAACTACTGAAATTTGTTTACAATTCAATATTTTGAACAAAAAGAGGACATGCTGGCACTCTAAATTGATGCGAACAAAATTTTTAGTCATTATGTTCCAATATTGCTATCATTTGTATTATACAATCCACGCTTATATGAAAATATAACTCATTTACTATGCAGCTATATAGATTTACATGATAAAGTGCTAATATGGTCAGTTTTGGTTGATGCGGACAAATAACTTAATGATACGAGTCAGTTTCAGGTATGAAAACTACTGAAATTTGTTTACGATTCAATATTTTGAATAAAAAGAGGACATGCTGGTACTCTAAATTGATGCAGAAAATTTTTTGTAGTCATTATGTTCCAATATAACTATAATTTGTTTTATACAATCCATCTTTACATGAAAATATTACTGATTTACTATGCGACTATGATATTTACATAATAAAGTGCAAATATAGTCAGTTTTGGTTGATGAGGACAAATAATTTTGTTCTACGAGTCAGTCTGAAGTATAAAACTACTGAAATTTGTTTACGATTCAATATTTTGAATAAAAAGAGGACATGCTGGCACTCATAATTGATGAGAACAAAATTTTTTAGTCATTACATCCCAATATTGCTATCATTTGTATTATACAATCCATCCTTACATGAAAATATAACTCATTTACTATGGGGCTATATAGATTTACATAATAAAGTGCTATAATGGTCAGTTTTGGTTGATGAGGACAAATAACTTTATGATACAAGTCAGTTTGAGGTATGAAAACTACTGGAATTTGTTTACGATTCAATATTTTGAATAAAAATAGGACATGCTGGTACTCTAAATTGATGCAGAAAATTTTTTGTAGTCATTATGTTCCAATATTGCTGTAATTTGTTTTATACAATCCATCCTTACATGAAAATATTACTGATTTACTATGCGACTCTAATATTTACATAATAAAGTGCTAATATAGTCAGTTTTGGTTGATGCAGACAAATAATTTTGTTATACAAGTCAAGTCTGAGGTATGAAAACTACTGAAATTTGTTTACGATTCAATATTTTGAATAAAAAAAGGACATGCTGGCACTCTTAATTGATGCGAACAATTTTTTTTTAGTCAATATATTCCAATATTGCTATCATCTGTATTATACAATCCATCCTTACATGAGATATAACTCATTTACTATGCAGCTATATATATTTACAAATTAAAGTGCTTATATGGTCAGTTTTGGTTGATGTGGACAACAAATTTTATTAACAGAGTCAGTCTGAGTTAAGAAAACTACTGAAATTTGTTAACGATTCAATATTTTGGATAAAAAGAGGACATGCTGGTACTCTAACTTGGTGCAGAAATTTTTTTGTAGTCATTATGTTCCAATATTGCTATAATTTGTTTTATACAATCCATTCTTACATGAAAATATTACTGATTTACTATGCGACTATAATATTGTTATAAATGGGTATTGATAATTATCACAAAGAAACAACACATTTTATATTTCAAAATTTTATTGGGATCAATATCTGAAAACCTGAAAAATAACGGTCTTAGATGATTTTTGTCGAGCCTGCGACTTTTGTCGCAGAAAGCTCGACATAGGGATAGTGATCCGGCGGCGGCGGCGTTAGCTAACTTCTTAAAAGCTTTATATTTTAGAAGGTGGAAGGTCTGGATGCTTCATACTTTGTATATGGATGCCTCATGTTACGAAGTTTCCGTCAGTCACATGTCCAATGTCCTTGACCTCATTTTCATGGTTCAGTGACTACTTGAAAAAAAAGTTAAGATTTTTTGTAATGTTAGATTCTCTCTTATTATAAGTAATAGGATAACTATATTTGGTATGTGCGTACCTTGCAAGGTCCTCATGCCCGTCAGACAGTTTTCACTTGACCTCGACCTCATTTCATGGATCAGTGAACAAGGTTAAGTTTTGGTGGTCAAGTCCATATCTCAGATACTATAAGCAATAGGTCTAGTATATTCGGTGTATGGAAGGACTGTAAGGTGTACATGTCCAACTGGCAGGTGTCATCTGACCTTGACCTCATTTTCATGGTTCAGTGGTTATAGTTAAGTTTTTGTGTTTTGGTCTGTTTTTCTTATACTGTATGCCATAGTTCTACTATATTTGGTGTATGGAATGATTGTAAGGTGTACATGTCTAGCGGGCAGGTGTCATTTGACCTTGACCTCATTTTCATGGTTCAGTGGTCAAAGTTAAGTTTTTGAGTTTTGGTCTTTTTTTCTAATACTATGTGCAATTGTTCAACTATATTTGGTATGTGCGTACCTTGCAAGGTCCTCATGCCCATCAGACAGTTTTCACTTGACCTCGACCTCATTTCATGGATCAGTGAACAAGGTTAAGTTTTGGTGGTCAAGTCCATATCTCAGATACTATAAGCAATAGGTCTAGTATATTCGGTGTATGGAAGGACTGTAAGGTGTACATGTCCAACTGGCAGATGTCATCTGACCTTGACCTCATTTTCATGGTTCAGTGGTTATAGTTAAGTTTTTGTGTTTTGGTCTGTTTTTCTTATACTGTATGCAATAGTTCAACTATATTTGGTGTATGGAAATATTTTATGATCTATTTGGCAGTCACGCAGGTTTTATTTGACCTTGACCTCATTTTCAAGGTTCATTGCTCAGTGTTAAGTTTTTGTGTTTTGGTCTGTTTTTCTTAAACTATAAGCAATAGGTCAACTATATTTGTTGTATGGAAGAATTGTTAGCTGTACATGCCTGCCTAGCATGGTTCATCTGACCTTGACCTCATTTTCATGGTTCATTGGTCAATGTTTAGTTTACTTGGTTAATGTTATGTTTATGTGACAGTTGTAATAAAGCTTTATATTTAGGACTATCAACATAATATCAATGATTAGTAAAGAAGGCGAGACATTTCAGCGTGTGCACTCTTGTTATACACTAAGACAACTTTGGCAAACTCAATTTGGGGAGATCACATTACATATTTTCATAACTTGTACCACTTTTATCAGATAACATAACATTTAACATTACGTCTATCAAATTATCGAGTTAGCATAGCGGTAAAATTCAACTGTCAGTGAACAGGCACTTCCATCACAATTTTCACGGGTCTACATTAATGTCACACTTTCAGGGGGTAAGGGGTTTATAAAACATGTTTGTTGTTACCTACTTTTTCAGTCTCAGTGTAATTTGACACATCGTTGGGGTAGTTTTCCCTTTAAATTCCATCGTGGCGAGTGCTTGTTTACGTACTAGAAGTTGCCATTCCAATGATTGGTCACTTCCGGGTAACGGTACTTCTTTATAAAGTTATAATAATACATAAAAGTATTATTAAGATATAATCAAATTACTTGCTGGCCTTCCTTTTATTGTTTAGGATACTGGATAATATGATATTGCTACGTTAAATACGTTTTTGTGAAGCGCCGTTAAGGAACTATTTTGAGATTTCAATGATGTCAGATAGAAACGTAGGTGATAAGGCTACGAGTATGGAATTTTAAGGTTTATATTTAATATGTCACTTATCTTTCGGAAATAAAGGCAAACTTTCGCGATTTTAAGGATTTATAATGCCATTTCGTGACATGAGCCAGAGTTTTCGTTAGCATTTCAAAGTTATAGTAGATTTTCAGTTCTGTGAGTCGCGCATGTATTTCACCGTCAAGTATAAATACAGCGTCGCACTAGCACTTCGGCATATCGTATCTGGCTGTCAAGCTGAGCAGAACGTAAAACAAAACAAACCTTCAAGTTAACAAAGCTATCTAGGTACAGGATGCATTTCGATATAAAGCTATTTTACCTTAAGCTATTCGATAGCATTTCAAGTTCTATATTAAGCTATTATAGCTATTATTAATCTTTTTACATCTTACCGAATATTGAACCAAAACCTTGATCAAAGACTTCCAGGAACCAAATACCGTTATACCAATATTCCCGCTTACGCAGGTCTTCAAGAGGAAGTGGCTTCGTATTTAGACAAGATGCGGAACCAGTTCAATGTTTACAAATTCCAATAGTAGTTTTTGGCAAATTATAACAATTATTAAAGATGTATAGATACGATATCCCACCACGTTGACAACTTTCTATAATTCCGTAATTTAATGAAATAAGTATATTTCATTTTTGTCGAGCCTGCGACTTTTGTCGCAGAAAGCTCGACATAGGGATAGTGATCCGGCGGCGGCTACGGCGGCGGCGGCGGCGGCGTTAGCTAACTTCTTAAAAGCTTTATATTTTAGAAGGTGGAAGGTCTGGATGCTTCATACTTTGTATATGGATGCCTCATGTTACGAAGTTTCCGTCAGTCACATGTCCAATGTCCTTGACCTCATTTTCATGGTTCAGTGACTACTTGAAAAAAAAGTTAAGATTTTTTGTAATGTTAGATTCTCTCTTATTATAATTAATAGGATAACTATATTTGGTATGTGCGTACCTTGCAAGGTCCTCATGCCCGTCAGACAGTTTTCACTTGACCTCGACCTCATTTCATGGATCAGTGAACAAGGTTAAGTTTTGGTGGTCAAGTCCATATCTCAGATACTATAAGCAATAGGTCTAGTATATTCGGTGTATGGAAGGACTGTAAGGTGTACATGTCCAACTGGCAGGTGTCATCTGACCTTGACCTCATTTTCATGGTTCAGTGGTTATAGTTAAGTTTTTGTGTTTTGGTCTGTTTTTCTTATACTGTATGCCATAGGTCTATTATATTTGGTGTATGGAATGATTGTAAGGTGTACATGTCTAGCGGGCAGGTGTCATCTGACTTTGACCTCATTTTCATGGTTCAGTGGTCAAAGTTAAGTTTTTGAGTTTTGGTCTTTTATTCTAATACTATATGCAATAGTTCAACTATATTTGGTATGTGCGTACCTTGCAAGGTCCTCATGCCCGTCACACAGTTTTCACTTGACCTCAACCTCATTTCATGGATCAATGAACAAGGTTAAGTTTTGGTGGTCAAGTCCATATCTCAGATACTATAAGCAATAGGTCTAGTATATTCGGTGTATGGAAGGACTGTAAGGTGTACATGTCCAACTGGCAGGTGTCATCTGACCTTGACCTCATTTTCATGGATCAGTGGTTATAGTTAAGTTTTTGTGTTTTGGTCTGTTTTTCTTATACTGTATGCCATAGGTCTACTATATTTGGTGTATGGAATGATTGTAAGGTGTACATGTCTAGCGGGCAGGTGTCTTCTGACCTTGACCTCATTTTCATGGTTCAGTGGTCAAAGTTAAGTTTTTGAGTTTTGGTCTTTTTTTCTAATACTTTATGCAATAGGTCATCTATATTTGGTGTATGGAAATATTTTATGATGTACCTGTCAGTCTTGCAGGTTTTATTTGACCTTGACCTCATTTTCACGGTTCATTGCTCAGTGTTAAGTTTTTGTGTTTTGGTCTGTTTTTCTAATACTATAAGCAATAGGACAACTATATTTGTTGTATGGAAGGATTGCAAGCTGTAGTACATGTCTGCCTGGCATTGTTCATCTGACCTTGACCTCATTTTCTTGGTTCATTGGTCAATGTTTAGTTTTCTTGGTTAAGTCTGTATCTTAGAAACTATAAACAATAGGTCAACTATATTTAGTGTATTGAATGATTGTAAGGTGTACATGTATTTCTTGTTTGGTTTATATGACCTTGACCTCATTTTCTTGGATCATGTTAAGTGTATGTGATAGTTGTAGTAAAGCTTTATATTTAGGACTATCAACATAATATCAATGATTAGTAAAGAAGGCGAGACATTTCAGCGTGTGCACTCTTGTCTCATTATTGAACTAGTATGATTGATAGGATAAAGTCTTGCAGCTATATATATTAAGTTACATTTGGGGTTCGGAAGGCCAGCATCTTACTATTCTAATTTATACTAACTATGTTATTGCTGTTATATGAGTTATTTGTTGAGATAAATATACATACTGGACAAGAATAAAAGTCATTCTTTTACGCTGGATTCATTTATATATGATCATGCTGGAGTCAACCAACTACACTTAAAACAAGACTATCTAGAGGAACACTATCGATAATCTATACTGAATTAAAAGTACACACGACCCCTACTCGCCCGCCTGTAACAATATTTACATAATAAAGTGCAAATATAGTCAGTTTTGGTTGATGCAGACAAATAATTTTGTTATACGAGTCAAGTCTGAGGTATGAAGACTACTGAAATTTGTCTACGATTCAATATTTTGAATAAAAATAGGACATGTTGGCACTCTAAATTGATGCAAACAAAATTTTTTAGTCATTATGTTCCAATATTGTTATCATTTGTATTATACAATCCATTCTTATATGAAAATATAACTCATTTACTATGTGGCTATATAGATTTACATAATTAAGTGCTATTATGGTCAGTTTTGGTTGATGAGGACAAATAACTTTATGATAAGAGTCAGTTTGAGGTATGAAAACTACTGAAATTTGTTTACGATTCAATATTTTTAATAAAAAGAGGACATGCTGGCACTCTAAATTGATGCAAACAAAATTTTTTAGTCATTATGTTCCAATATTGATATCATTTGTATTATACAATCCATTCTTATATGAAAATATAACTCATTTACTATGCGGCTGTATAGATTTACATAATAAAGTGCTATTATGGTCAGTTTTGGTTGATGAGGACAAATAACTTTATGATAAAAGTCAGTTTGAGGTATGAAAACTACTGAAATTTGTTTACGATTCAATATTTTGAATAAAAAGAGGAAATGCTGGTTTTGCGTTTACTTTTGACAAAAATAGAAGACGAGCATTTTTTCACGTTAACGCTGAAGTTAACACGAAAGTAAACGCCCGTTTACTCTTTACAAAATTAGAAGACGTGCCGTTTTTGCATTAACGCGGAGGTAAACGCGAAAGTAAACGCCCATTTACTTTTTATGTCTACTGAAATTACGGAGTTATTGCGCAGTTAACGTGGCGTTAACATGAAGTGCAAGCGAGTAAATGGCGCGTTAACTTTTTCGGCCCATCTACATGTAATGCTTGGTCTGCACCCAACTGTAGATAGAAACTTTAAAAGGCAAAAATGATCAGCAAGGCAATATTTATAAGAAAATCAAGGTGGAAGAAATTGTCAGTAAATTCTTTATTAACATTATTGCCCTTTAATGACAATTTTTACCAATTTATTTGCGTTTTTGCATATTAACTTGAAAATTTTAATAAATAGTTAACAAAATTAGAAAAAAAAAAAATGGATAGAAAAGTTAACAAAACAATTTTTTTTTTTCACATGGTGTATTATAACTTGAGTTAAATAAGATTGATATACTGGAAATTTAATTTTACGTAATTGTTGGAAATGGTGAAAAATATTTTATACAAATTGATGAAAGTTGCAGAATGTGAGCCATAGGGATTACAATGTGGAGGCGGTAGTGACAGTGTAAACTATTTGTATAAAGCTTTATAAAGCTTTATACAAATAGTTTACACTGTCACTGCCGCCTCCAGAAAAATCTTCTTCTCTGAAACTACTGAACCAATTCCAACCAAACTTAAGCTGAATGATTCAAAGGGTATCTAGATTAAAGTTTGTTTTATTTTCTGTTTCGTAAAAAAACATGGCCGCCATGGCTAAAAATAGAACATAGGGGTAAAATGCAGTTTTTGGCTTATATCTCAAAAACCAAAGCATTTAGAGCTAATCTGCAGAGAGGTAAAAATGTTTATTAGGCCAAGCTCTGTCAGCCCTGAAATTATCAGATGAATCTAACAACCCATTTTTGGATTGCTGCCACTTAATTGGTAATTTTAAGGAAATTTTGCAGATTTTGGTTATTATCTTGAATATTATTAATGATAAAGATAAACTGTAAACAGCAAAAATGTTCAGCAAAGTAAGATCTACAAATAAGTTTTGTATGACCAAAATTGTCAATTGTCCCTTTAAGGAGTTATTGCCCTTTAAAATCAATTTTTCACAATTTGTTCATTTAGTTTGCTTACTTTAAAAAATCTTCTCCTTTGAAACTGCTGAATCAATTTCAGCCAAACTTGGGCTGAATGAGTTTCAGAGTATCTAGTATAAATTTTATATTTTATTTTCTTGTACGTCAAGAAACATAGCCACTATGGCTAAAATGAAACATAGGGGTAAAATGCATTTCTTTGATTTTGAAGAAAATATGACAGATACAAAGAACATTTCAGTGGAAGTTTTAAGCCATTTATTAATATATATTGAAAAGCAAAAATAATCATTGATGAAAGATTTAAGCAAAAAATTACAGGTGAGTGATTCAGGCTCTTGAGAGCCTCTTGTTATGAAATTAATATTATAGGTTTATATCATCAATGTCTTTGACAAGTTTCCAAAATCAGTTTCGATCAAGTATTTTTAAAAGAGTTATGCCCTTGGAAATATTGATTATATGGAAAATTGCATTGTGTACAATTCTTGCCAGATTTTTTAGGAAATTTATTTTATAGATTTATATCATCAATGTCTTGGACAAATTCGAAAATCAGTGCTGAGCAATTTTTTTGAAAAGAGTTATGCCCCTTGGAAATATTGATTATATGGAAAATTGCATTGTTAGCGCTCTCATGTGTACAATTCTTGGAAATATTAATTATAACTGAAATCGCATTGCATTTGCTCTGAAGCCATCATTTCTCTAAGATATTTATAAAAAGTTTTAAAGAAGAAAAAAAATGTGTTTTTTTTTTTTAAGTAATTGCCCTTGTACCTTGAATAGATAAAATATGTGCAATGTGGGGGACATTGGAACTTTGTTCTTTTATAAGTTTTGTTTTGGTTGAGCTATTTTTATACGCCCGTTTTCGGGACGTATTATGGTATACCGTTGTCCGTCTGTCCATCCGTCTGTCCGTCCGTCCGTCGTCAACATGTCGGACATTAACTCAAAAACGCTTTAACCAATTTGCATAAAACTTTGGTGAATTGTTTATATCTATTGACGTGAGCTCCCTTTCGTTTTTTATAAGTTTTAGATTTTACGTGTCTGAGTTATGGGGTTTTATTCATTAAAAAAAGGGGGATTTTCCAGTTTTTGGACAATTACTCAAGAATGCTTTCACCAACTTGCAAGAAATTGTGGTGAATTGTTTATATCTATTGACATGAGCTCCCTTTTTGATTTTTATATATTTTAGATTTTACGTTTCCGAGTTACAGGGTTTTATTCATAAAAAAAGGGGGATTTTCCAGTTTTCTGACAAAAAATCAAAAATGCTTTCAGCAGTTCTTATGAAACTTTGGTGAATTGTTTATATCTATTGATGTAAGCTCCGTTTAGAATTTTATAAATTTTACATTTTACATTTCTGAGTCATGGGGTTTTATTCATTAAAAAAGGGGGGATTTTCTAGTTTTCAGACAATAACTCAAAAATGCTGTCAGCAATTCTCATGAAACTTTGGTGAATTGTTTATATCTATTGATGTAAGCTCCCTTTACATTTTCATAAATTTCTAATATGACATTGAGAATTAATTGAACTTTAATTGTTTATAGTCTGACAACATATTTACTAAGTATTGCGCAACAGCACAGTGTATTGCACAACAGCAAAAAATCTTTAATTGAATATAAATTCAATTCATATAACCAATTTCAAGTTCTTTGACTACATTTATTCAGAAACCTATAATATGTCAAATATTTGATACAATCCAAATTCAGACCTGTATCAAGCTTGAATATTGTGTCCATTTTTGCCCCAACTGTTCAGGGTTGGACCTCTGCGGGCGTATCCAGCTGCGCTCAGCGAAGAAGTTTATTGAAAGAGTTGTGGTGCTTGGACATTGAAAATTACTCTATAGATATACATGTAAGCTTTTAGAGAAAACTTTCAATTGTTGATTCTCCAGTTGTTGACAATATCAGCATCTGTAAAAAAATATTCTGACTCAATTAAAGATGGAAATTCACAACTACATTAGTAAAAATGTAATGCTTGTTCAATATAAGTTCGAATTGTCCTTCTGTACAGGCAGTACTGGACATTGTATTTCATATGTGAATCCCTGAGGGTGCTTGTTTTCATTGTTTATTGATTTACTTTAAATTAAGTGATAAGAAGGTTTTTTAAATTTTGGTTAAAGTAAAAGGGACCTTAAGTATTTGACTTATCAGATGTTCCAGTCATTTGAAGTCGAGATTTAGATTATGTTTTTCCCTTACAAAGCTTAACACCATATCCTTCAAATTATAGTTCCCCGATGTTTATACAATATGTAGTTCTGATTGATATAAAAAGTAAGACATGGTATGACTGCCAATAAGACGGCTGTCCATCAGAGAACAAGCTAGGGATTTGATCCTCAGTTTGGTCAAACCAAAGACTTATAAATTGCTGCTTCTCTGTTAAACACCAGGCTTTAAGAAGTACGAGAAAAGACTTGTTGGCTCAGAGTAAAAGAAATGTGTACTGGTAGTGTGACATGTCTACTTGTGGACTATTACATTATCAGGGTGTATTGTCTAGTACAAAATATCACTTTAACACTTTGCTTGTACTGATATGCTTGTAATATTTGCCAATGGATGTTATTCATCATTATCATCGTTATCTACTGTATGCATATCATATGAAAGATTTTTTTTTATTTCAGGTTCTATTGCCTCAGGTATAACAACACCTTTAGATGTTGCTAAAACCAGGATTATGTTAGCAGAAGTAGGTATTAAATATGTACATCAGTGTATTATCTTAGTGTGTTCATTTGACTGGTCCTGTACGTTGTACTCTTATTATCTACAAAAGCCTGTCCTCTACATATTAAGTCAACTGTGTATATTTTATCCTCAGACTGTATAGCCAATTTCAAGTCCTTATTGGAAGTAATTTTAGCAATCTTAGGAGTCCTCTCAGCTAAAAATAGTGAACTAAATTCAGAAATTATTCTTTTATGCAATGCTCTGTGCTCATTTTAACATGGGTAGGCATTATATTTGTTAATATCTTCATACCGATCATCAGCGAGGTGTAAAATGTTGACAAATATAATGCCTACCCATGTTAAAATTAGCATAGAGCATGGTATGATAGAATTATTTCGATTCTAATAGGAAAATTTAGAACTTTTCTACTTCGAAGCCGACCTATAATATGTGTTCAAAAGGCATCCATTTTGATTTAATGAAGTCAAAAAGTTGTAGAAAAGCCATGCATATACTGTGTAACATTTAAATTGAGTTACTGCAATTAAACTGGTTACTGGTGAGGGCCTCTTCCTGTATAAAGGTATACACAGACTATAATGCCACTAGTATGGAACCCCATCAAGTTTTTATATGTCAAATATATATCAATGGGTTGCAATTTCAAGGAGAAAATATTTCTATTGATATTTTTTAATGTCAATAGGTCATAAATATTCATCTTCTAAAAAGGTATTTTTTTTAAATTGTGGAATAATCAAAATGAATTTGAATAATCCCATATGGATAATATTTTGTTCAATGAAAATTTTATTAATGCATTTGGTTAGATAATCCTCTCACATCTATTTAAGATGTCACAGATTGTACATCTGATAAGTGAGAATTATATGGATGGGTTATATTTTTGCTGTGAAATATATGGATTGGTCAGGATTTTTGCAAAACTTAATATATGAATTGAGGGATTTTAACCCCAGCCACAGTTCTACCAATTGTTTTATGTTGAGAACCCATTCCTTCCTTGTCTGGTGTAGATACCTTACAAAATGTTAACATTTTGGTGGAAATCTGATGCACTGACATATAAGTTTTGACAAATGTCTTTTAGTTGTGGGGATGTATAAGTACCATGCCACGCCCACTCTGTGTTTTTGTTACATGTATTTCTGCTTTGTATTCATCTGATGAGTTAAGCCTTTTTCAACTGATTTTTGTCTCGACTTGACGGAGTCAAAAAGCAAGACATAGGTATGCTGTTTCCGGCGGTGTCAACAATGTATTAGTTTGTGATTTGGTCAGTTTTATTGTGAACTACTAGTGGTAGGTCAATGATATTTGGTAAGCAGTTGTATTAGCATTGGCACATATCATTTCCATGGAGATAATTTGGCCCCACCCCCTCAGTCATGGTCTATTGACTTTGAAACTTTTACTTTGTGTACATGTATTAGTTTGTGATTCGGTCAGTTTATGGGGAACCACTAGTGGTAGGTTAATGGTATTTAGTATGTAGTTGTATAAGCATTGGTATATCTCATTTCCATGGAGATTATTTGGCCCCACCCCTTCAGTCATGGTCTATTGACTATGAAAGTTTTCCTTAGTTTACATGTATTAGTTTGTGATTAGGTCTGTTTAAGGGGAACCATTAGCGGTAAGTCAGTTATATTTCGTATGCAGTTGTATAAGCATTAACACATCTCATTTCCTTGGGGATTATTTGGCCCCGCTCCTTCAGTCATGGTCTATTGACTTTGAATATTTTGCATAGTTTACATGTTAAAGTTTGTGTTAAGGTTAGTTTAAGAGGAACCACTAATGTTAAGTCAGTGAAATATGGTATGCAAATGTATTTGCATTTGCAAGTCTCATTTCCATGGAAATTATATGGCCCCACCCCCTTATCATAGTTTATTTACTTTGAAACTTTTACATAGTTTTTGTCGAGCCTGCGACTTTTGTTGCAGAAAGCTCGATATAGGGATAGTGATCCGGCAGCGACGGCGTTAACTAACTTCTTAAAAGCTTGATATTTCAGAAAGTAGACCTTGATGCTTCATACTTTGTATATAGATGCCTTATGATATGAATTTTCTGTCTGTCATATGTCCATTGTCCTTGACCTCATTTTCATGGTTCAGTGATTAATGGAAAAAATAGTTAAGATTTTTTGTAATGTTAATTTCTCTCTTATTATGAGTAATAGGATAACTATATTTGGTATGTGCATACCTTGCAAGGTCCTCATGCCTGTCAGACAGTTTTCACTTGACCTCGACCTCATTTCATGGATCAGTGAACAAGGTTAAGTTTTCCTGGTCAAGTCCAATTATCTCAGATACTATAAGCAATAGGTCTACTATATATGGTGTATGTAATGATTGTAAGGTGTACATGTCCAACTGGCAGGTGTCATCTGACCTTGACCTCATTTTCATGGTTCAGTGGTAATAGTTTAGTTTTTGTGTTTTTGGTCTGTTTTTCTAATACTGAATGCAGTAGGTTAACTATATTTGGTGTATGGAAATATTTTACGATGTACATGTCAGTCTGGCAAGTTTTATTTGACTTTGACCTCATTTTCATGGTTCATTGCTCAATGTTAAGTTTTTATACGACCGCAAAAAAAATTTTGTGGTTGTATATTGGTATGACGTTGGCGTCGTCGTCGTCGTCTGGCGTTGTCCGGCGTCGTCCGAAGACACATTGGTTTTCGCACTCTAACTTTAGTTTAAGTGAATGGATCTCTGTGAAATTTTACCACAAGGTTCAATATCACAAAAGGAAGGTTGTGATTGATTTTGGGGGTTATGGTACCAACAGTAAAGGAAAAAGGGGCCAAAAATAAGCATTTTTGTAACTTCCAGACATAACTTGTGTGTTAGTGTATGGATCTCTCTGACATTGTACCACAAGGTTCCATATCACAAAAGGAATGCTGGGATTGATTTTGGGGATAATTGCCTAAAAATTTTAGGAATTGGGGGCCAAAAAAGGGGCAAAAAAACAAGCATTTTTCTAGTTTCATGACAATAACTTGTGTGCAAGTGTATGGATCTTTCTGAAATTGTACTACAAGGTTCCATATCACAAAGGGAAAGCTGGAATTGAGTTTGGGGGTAATTGTCGAAACATTTAGGAATTGGGGGACAAATAGGGGCCAAAAATAAGCATTTTTCTAGTTTCCAGACAATAACTTGTGTTCAAGTGTATGGATCTCTCTGAAATTGTACTGCAAGGTACCATACCACAAAGGGAAGGCTGGGATTGATGATGGGGGTAATTGCCTCAATATTTTAGGAATTAGGGGCAAAAAAGGGGCAAAAAACAAGCATTTTTCTAGTTTCAGGACAATAACTTGTGTGTAAGTGTATGTATCTTTCTGAAATTGTACTACAAGGTTTCATATCACAAAGGGAAAGCTGTGTTTGAGTTTGGGGGTAATTGCCCTAAACGTTTAGGAATTTGGGGCCAAAAAGGGGCCAAAAAACACATTTTTCTAGTTTCCAGACAATAACTTGTGTTCAAGTGTATGGATCTCTCTGAAATTGTACTTCAAGGTACCATACCACAAAGGGAAGGCTGGGATTGAGTTTGGGGGTGATGAATCATAAGGGGGTTCAACAAATTTGTGGGGGGGGATTTTTTTTTTTTTCCTTTTTTTTCTTTTTTTCCTTTTTTTTTTCTTTTAAAATTTTCCATTTTAAGTTGGTTATTTCTGATTTATATTTAAAAGCAAATAATAATGATATGGTAGGAGATACACACCAAACAGGATGTGTAAATTATTATATAATAAGTATTGTGCAATAGCAAGAAATTTTCAATTGCACAGTATTGCACAATAGCAAGAAATCTTCAATTGCACAGTATTGCGCAATAGCAAGAAATCTTCAATTGCACAGTATTGCGCAATAGCAAGAAATATCCAATAGCACAATATTGCGCAATAGCAAGAAATTGTCAATTGTACAGTATTGCGCAATAGCAAGAAATATTGAATTGCACAGTATTGTGCAAAAGAAGAGACTTCGTATAAATTGCTTATTTCTTGACCAATTTCAATGGGGTTTTATTCTTGACTTCTTGGGGTTCTTAAATATGCTGAATCTAACCGTGTATTAAGTTTTTTGATTTTGGGCCCCGTTTTTAAATTGGTCCACATTGAGGTCCAAAGGGTCCAAAATTAAACTTTGTTTGATTTCATCAAAAATTGAATTATTGGGGTTCTTTGATATGCCGAATCTAACCGTGTATTTAGATTCTTAATTTTTGGTTCCGTTTTCAAATTGGTCTACATTAAGGTCCAAAGGGTCCAAAATTAAACTTAGTTTGATTTTAACAAAAATTGAATTCTTAGGGTTCTTTGATATTCTGAATCTAAACATGTATTCAGATTTTTGATTATGGGCCCAGTTTTCAAGTTGGTCCAAATCGGGGTCCAAAATTAAACTTTGTTTGATTTCAACAAAAATTGAATATATGGGGTTCTTTGATATGCTGAATCTAACCATGTATTTAGATTTTTGATTTTTGGGCCCCGTTATCAACTTTGTCCACATTGAGGTCAAAAGGGTCCAAAATTAAACTTTGTTTAATTTCATCAAAAATTGAATTCTTGGGGTTCTTTGATATGCTGAATCTAACCATGTATTTAGATTTTGGATATTGGACCATAATAGGTGAATGTCCAATTTAAAATTTTTAAGTTCTTAGACCACATTCATTCTGTGTCAGAAACCTATGCTGTGTCAAATATTTAATCACAATCCAAATGCAAAGCTGTATCAAGCCTGAATGTTGTGTCCATACTTGCCCCAACAATTCAGGGTTCGACCTCTGCGGTCATATCAAGCTGCGCCCTGCGGAGCATTTTATTGTGTTTTGGTCTGTTTTTTCTAATACTGTATGCAGTAGGTCAACTATATTTGGTGTATGGAAATATTTTACGATGTTCATGTCAGTCGGGCAGGTTTTATTTTACCTTGACCTCATTTTCATGGTTCATTGCTC